GCGTTCTTACGGCGTTTTCATTGGCGATTGTCTGCGTTTGGACTGCGCTTCTACTGAGTTCTTCGCTTTCACAGCGCTCACACGGCGCTATTGTGGCGCTTACACTGAGCTGAAATCGTGCTTCACATACAAGTTCTGAATAGTCGTGTACCTGCTGCACCTGCATGCAAGCAAGCAGTATTCTAGCTTGCTGCCGTACATCATACATGGTTAAAAGGATATTCACGTTCTATATATACAGTGACAACCCTCAATTAAGACCACAAAAGGGACTGCAGTAAAGTGGTCTTATTTGCGGATGGTCTTAATTGTGGATATAATTAATTATCAAAGCATATCTATTTCATGACGACTCTATTTGAATTATTATGTGTAAACATGTTGAAAGAATTATATTATTACCTTCAAATATTAATGTAAACTGATGTTATAATATTTTTTATCCTAAATAGAACATTAATCTGACGATACTTAATGTAAAAATTATATTTTCATAGGTCCTGTTTCTTGACATAATTCACCTATAAATTAAGAAATTAATTCGCCACAAAAATGAGCAGAAAGTAACATTAAACCAATCTGAAGTTTATTTCCTTACCTTTATACAATATTCTTATCATAACAGTTTTAACACATTGTTTCAAGTGTCATGCTTTAGAGAATTCAAGCAGATGAATAACAAAAAACGTGTTATCTGAATAGGTATTTACTGGAATATCAGTAGTCTCAACAGTGGGTTTAGATAAATAAAACAATAAATTGGGACTAAAGCTGGTGGTCTTAAATGTTGATAGGTGGGGTGGTCTTAATTGTGGATCATGTAACCATTAACATTACGAACAGAAAATTCCTTTTAAAAAAATAGGTCTAATTAGAGGGTTGGTCTTAATTCTGGTGTGGTCGGAAGTAGGGATTCTACTGTACCGTATTCTGCAATTTCAGATCAACGCAGTAGAATCGTCATGAGTGCGCAATGGTCGCCGTGACAGTGCCGCAGAGTCGCAGTAAGAGCGTTTTAGAAAAAATAAAGCTCCGTAAAGGCGCCGTACACACGCATTATAAACGCGATAGAGACGCCGTACAATCTCCGTACAAGCACCGTGGCTAATTACGGCGTTTATTCGGCGATCCTTCTGCGCTCTTACGGTGCTCCTGTTGCGTTGTAGGAGATGTTACTGAGTTGCTACGGCGTCCTTACTGCGATCCCACAGCGCTCTCATCAGAACGCCGAGTGACGGCGTTTGTTTTGAGCATGCTCAAAATGCGCGCCGTCGGTTGGCGTTCTATGCGATGCCACTGCGATGCTATGGAGATGCTGCGGCGATGTTTACGATCTTACTGCGCTCTACGCGGCGTTCTAAATTTTCTTTGGACGCCGTGAGAACCCCGCCCTAGTGTGACAGGGGTTTTACTTTCTCCCTTTATGCGGTCAACAGAAAGCAGAAAAAAAAATACAAGAAAGATATTACTATGTCTGGTACAAGTACAAATGTTGCTGCAATGCAGCAATGGAGAAGCTCCGCGCAAAAAATGCGCTCGTTACAGATACCTGACCAAATTATTCCTACGCACAGGTCATGTTATATTCGGATTAAGTACTATTGTAGATTTTTTCCGAATGTTTTGTAAACCATTTTTTGCATAATTTTACTTATCTTAAGCACTGTCCATAATTAAAAAAAAGAGGGGCCAGATATTTAATTTGAAAAAATGCTTTCACTGATGCCTACCTGGTAAGGAAAGTAATTCCATTGAATACAAACAAGACTTACAAGACTTGTAAATGTTATGTGTGTTCTATTTGTGTCACTACTGTAAAGTCTGTTTTTATTAATTGTAACAAATAGACAAATAGTAACAAAAGGGACTAATATTAAAATATAGTAATATTACACGCAATTTTTTTCATGTCAATTTTTTTTAAAAAAAAAATGGTTTCTTTCAATACTGATAGAAGACTGTTACATGAATTTTAGGCAGGCATGAGGAAATTCACTATGCGAGTCAGAGATATAAAAGCTACTTGACATTGGTGAAATATAAAAAGCTATTGTTAATTGATTTATTGGGAGATCAATACACTTTTTTTTGCTGAATTGCTTAAAAACCATTCATAAAAAGAAACAATACACCTCATGTTCAAACTGCAGTTTCTGCTGTTACCAATGATGCAATCTATCTATCTATCTATAGTCTATGCTTAATCAGGGTCCATCCGCCCATACGGGCACAAAATGCAGCTTTCGCTGTCGAGGACGGACCCCCCGGACATGTCACCAGTCGTGCCCTTAAAGAGCTAATTTTGAGGCGCAAAGTGTTGTAATTATTTCAAAACAACAAATATATCAACCTGTTATTATTAAACATTTAGTTTTATAAATATAAATTTAGAATAATTATCAAAAGCAAAATTATTAAAGTCTTATGCCTGAAATCTTCTTTATGTTGAAAAATTCAATCACTAATAGTATACTTGATATGCTGTGTGTAAATACAATTCAAAATGTAACAAATTATAATTTCATGTACTACTAAAAAGGGAAATAACAAATTTATAACCTAAGTGTCAAAAATCAGAACATTTATAGCTATTTAAAGCTTTCGAATTCATGTACAGCAGAACTGCTCCCCGGTTCACATTCATTTATATGACACGCTGAGAATCATCGAAGGGGGACCAATATAATAATCGAAAGGAGTTATAGAATCCGAATTTATTTTTAGCTGTAAATCGAAGGGATTTATTGATAAAATCCGTGCCCATGGACAAAAAAAAATAGTAAACACAAGTAGCCCTCTGGGCGCGGAGCAATAAAGCGATCGAATTGAAATTCTGTGTATTTAGGTTCGGTCTATGAATATTTTTATTCAGTTTTAATTTAGTTGACAAAGCGAAGCATAAACAGAATATCCTTTGAGGGAAAACGACGTAAAACAAATTGGATAAAATGGCAGGACAAAAATATATGCCGAAATACGTGAGATGTTTTGAATACGTAAAGGAGGGTATTTAACAAAAATTTATAACTCAGGTGCACTATAATGATATATTGACTAAACGTTTATGAAAATATTTTTTATTTAATACCTAGTCTTGAAACAGAATTTTGACATAACAGTATGTGTGTAATGTTCAGTTTCAAACTTTTGCAACACTGTCGCATATTAATTTTGGAATCAATAAGTCACTCCAATGGTTACATAGCCCTATGTATTTATTAACTTTAAACTTTTTTAGTCAAAACTCTTCTCTATTTTGCAATTTAGCAACTGCCATTTGATATACCTAAAGGCAAAGTTAACAAAATAAGGTATTTACACATAGACGTTATCGGGAATTTGGCAAAGTTGGGTTTTCCCATACAAACCAATTTGTACCGTTATAGCTTCACGGTGCACTATTCGTCACAATAGATTACTCAACCCGTTTCGCTTATTTTTCGGAACTGTAACTGTAAAAGTTTGTTTGTACATGCGTTATTAGCTGCGGAAAACCCCAAATATTCTTTATTCCGGAGTAAGTCTATTCACGGGGGAGGAAGTGTTACACGAAGGATAGAGTTTTTATGATAACTTGTTCAGGAGTTCTTGTGATAACTGTCACGGAGTTCGTCGGAAAACATCTGTATATACTACAAAAACACTCGTCCAAAATGGTTATTTTCATCGTTCAAAAATGAGTTTAGGTGCTAAATTAAACTTTAATGATTAAGCTTGTCTTATATATTAAAACCATACACGCACTGCGCTTGTCTTGCTCACAACGACGTTATGGTGCTCACAACGAGGATTAAAGCAAAAAAAGGTATATCTTCGCTTCTATGAAGACTTTCAGATAATAATTTACGCTGAAGACTTGTGGGCATCTGTTTTAGGTAAGAATGCACAAAAAGTCACCAGAATCGACGTTTTCAATGTTAAATTAGGTCCAAAGGGAAGTTGCCTCCAGTTTTCCTGCTACCCCGAGTGACTGCGTCGCACATTATTTCCATCAAATTGTCCACCAACAGGCAATATCTTTACATGTGCATACTCAGATAACACATCGCTAGCTAACTGCATTTCGATATTTTTACATAAATGTCTGTAATCTTCAAAAATTATGAAAAACGCACCTTGTTTATCGTGTCACACGTCGAAGATGGGTGCTCACAACGAGGAACGGAAGTTGCTCACAACATTTTAACCGATGGACATTTTTCACTCGTTGTGAGTTAAACGGGCGTGTGCCTATTCACAAGTTTTGACCTGTTTATTTCTGGTCTTCATCCTTGCCATACATAATTTCCTAATTATAATGCAAAATTGCAAACATAAAGCACATGCTAACAGATTTATACCCGAATTTTCAAATGTCCCAGAGTTCTTGTGATAACTCTGAAGATGTCACAGAGTTCTTATGATAACTTTTGTTATTGCCAGTTAAAACAAGTTAAAACAACTGGGTCGCGGGTTGAAAATACGATAATAAGCGAGGGCGCAGGACGAGATTTAAGAAAAAAAACGGCAAGGGCGCGAAGAGAAAACACGCTTATTAGCGCCCCGCTAATAAGCATATTTTCGCTCCGCCCCCCCCCCCCCCCCCCCCCCCCCGCGATTTTAACTTGTTAATTATAGACTTTTCGCTTTGCGGGGTCGCGGGACGAAAATACGCTAATAAGCGGAAGGGGGATTTTATTTAATAAATTTTGCCCGCGCCCTCATTAATTAGCGTGTTTTCGCTCCGCGACCCCTCCATTTGAACTTGTTAATTTTCGACTTTTCGCTTGGCGGGATCGCGGGACGAAAACACAAATGGCACAAATCAGTCACCTTGACAATGACACAGTTTAAGTTTATGTCTAATTTTATTTCCTTCATATATCTTTTCCTCATATCACTCTGTTTCAATTATTTTGTATTGACTTTCAAATTCCATCACATTAGTGTTATAAATGAGTGTACAAACATAGCACGTATATTGTTACTTTTGATAGTATGGTCTAACAGTCCATATTTCATCAATTTTCAACAAGTTCTATCATGATAGATGTACAAATATTCTCCCAAGACGTTTTCGGTATATACTCATCGTTTTCCCTCATAAATAAAATTCGTGTCCTGTGTTCGTATAAATCCAGCATTTGACCATTCATCATTTCTATATCTATTTCATCCTTAACCATAAGAACGCTAGGCTTTTCCAACAAGATAGCGTGATCGAATTCATTCCGACAATGTACACTTTGGATAAAATGATCCGTTAAAAGAATCACCACTACAGACGACTTACGAAGAAACCTTGACATTTGCTCTGGAATTGGTCTGCCAATTTGGAAATGTTTGTCTCCTTCACAGACTAGATTACTGTCCTTCCCTACCTTTTGCTGAAGATTCTCATTTAATTGATTATATACATACTTGTTGACAAAGTCGTCGTCGTTACTGCTGTATGAAAGAAAAACAACAAATTTGCTTTCGTCGGCCCCCTCTCTAATGAGAGCAATGCGATCTTCCATTTCACGTTGATATTTTCGCTGCCGTTGGCATCTCCGTATTTTGAACAGAATAGCTACAACTAAAACTAAAGCAAGAAATGCTGTACAACATATTACGATGATCACTTTGGGTCTATTACATATCTCCTGTATTTCATTAATGGTCTTATCAGTAATATATACTTTCTCGGAGTCCTTGTTTTCACATTGTAATGGTAAATCTGGATTATTGGTTGTGCTTGATGCCGTGTTTTTAAGCCAATTAATAGAGTCCAATGAATCACATTTAGAGCACTGAATAGGGTTACCTAGTAGTAGTATCTGAACATTGTCAAATGTATCAAAGGTGGCTGCATCTATGACTTGTATTCTATTTCTTCTGACATCTACTGTCCGGAGATGCGTTAAATGATTCACTTCACAAGAAAATTCAGTTATCTGATTGTCTGATATGTCTATGAACTCAAGTCTTAAATTGTATGCAAAAATGTATTTTGGAAGACGTGTTAATCCATTTGAAGCCAAACGTATTGTGCGTAGATTAAAAAGTTTTGTGAACAGATTTTCGAACAAGTTGAAATCTTCTGCCATCATACTGTTCAGTTTGTTTCTTGAGAGATCAATGTCTGATAATAATTTAAAACTTGAAATGGCATCCGGATTTAGATAACGTATGTCACATCCGGACAAATCTACTTTGCTAAAGGGACATCTCGGCATTAATAGTGTTAAGTCCATTCTACCGAAATTATTGCTTCCTATGTTGATGACCTCTAATTTAAGTTTACTGGCTCCAAACACCTCCGCTGTAAAGTTGTCAAAAGAATACGATATCCATTTTGGAATTACACCTGACATATTTAAATAACGGATATTTTTCGGAAAGTTAACTGAATTTAGCCAATTTATATTTATTGGTATGTTTGCGTTCTTATAAATTGTTTCTGAATTTCCGTGAAAAGGCACAATGTTTGAAGGAAGTATCGTATAACTGGCATCAACAGTTTTAAGGTTTTCACATGACTGCATTGTGTTTATGTCTGTCTTAAAACTGTCCACTCTCACTCTTGATATGTTGATAAATTCCAAGTTATGACAGTGATTTAGAAATGAAGTCATGTTTATATACCGAATTTGGGTTGAACTGATGTCAAGCACTTTGACTTTTTTGTCAGAAATCATTTTGAAAAATCGATCATCAAAAGACAAACCGGTACGATAACTATTTAGAAAAGTAAAAATTAGGCTCTGCAAGTTTGGTATAACATTATAATTGTCAATTGCATCCAGAATGTCTTCAAAATTTACCCGTCGGCAACCGGTTAAATCTAAACGTTTGAGATTTTCTAGTCCAACAAATGAGTCATTTGCTAATTTAAACTTCTGTGATATTCCAATACGTAACACTTCCAAACTTTTTAGTCCGCAGAAACAACACGACTCAAATGTTGGCGCACTTTCATTTTCTGCATGCCAGTCCTCACCGACAGAGATTTCAAGGTTTGTTATTTGACCCCAATTATATGTCGAAAATAATCCTTTGCTTAATGTATTTTCTTATATAATTCTAAGATTGACCGAATTTGTGCCGTCCGGAATATCCAGCGGTTCATAATTGCATGTGATTTCAGAATTTCTGCTTATGCAATGCTTAGACTTCGAAGATGAACTACCATAAACATCAGCAAAGAAAATAATCAAGTTGATATAAGACACTATAAAAGCATGAACAAAACATTTTGCGTGTATATCCATTTTATGTAACTTTACATTAATTGAAAACTTGCATTTTGTCTTACTACTGGTTATAATAGAGTATAGCAAGACATATTTGATAGGATCCTGTCACAGTCAATTTAAATACTCCCACATATTACCAGTTAATCGTTTTGATCAGCATTACATGTTTGCATAAAACGATTGCTTTGATATCATATTTGCTTAATTGGATATGGAAAACTTTCGAATATAAAAGCCGGCTTCATTCTCAAGTAACCTTTAAAAAAGTTGGCTTTTTTTAAATTGAGCACTTGATAAATGTGCTTATTTGATTCATTTGTCAAATATTTGCCTTTAAATAATTATTGATATTATCAGACAAGTCCTTTAATACTTGTAATACAACCATCGACATGTATTGTTTGGAAGATTTCAAAAGTTTGTGACATGTTTGCTAATCATTCTCAAGTTACCTTTAACAAAGTTTGTAACTAAGATAAAGAGGGACCATGCCCCTAGTGATTCAATGGCAAATACTTCACTAAAATTAATTTAATTACACTTTATCAAGATCGTTGACAAGACCATTAATTTGAATTTGATGGTCCACTTTTAAGTTAAAGTTTAGATGCATAATAAGATTTTGTCAACTATCGGCTATTCGCTCTGTTTGTTTTTATAAAGCCAAAGCAAAAATTAAAACGAAAGCTTATAATTTAAAGATGCATGCCCCCGAATGCATTATAGAGTTCATAAAATTTTGAAAATTATAAAAATCATGATGCAAAATGTATTACAAATTCATTTCTTTTCAGTCTATTAAACAATTTTATTTGTTTATTTTCATGTTATGCCGAAACAAAATGAAGCAAATATCTACGACCCCATCCTTTTAACACTTACCAAAACACCTGCTGTCAAATTAAACAAAGGTTTGATGTTGACGACTTATTGAAACATCGAGTTTAATGCTTATTAGTTGACATAAGGTTACATTTTCAATAGTCAACCATCTGTCGAGATACGTATCGCCGGTATAAAAGGTAGTTCATTATTCTGGAAACTCAGAAAGAATGATGGAGATACATTTAGACGCTTTACATATTATTAAATATATTCTTTACGGTTTAATCATAATACCAACAGTGTTTGGAAATGGACTGATTCTGTACTGTGTGTACAAATACAAATATTTAAGGAGCAATATGCATATTTTGATTGCAAACTTAGCGGTGCCTGACTTGTTAGTAGGGGCGGTTTTGATACCACTCAATTTAATATTTGGGATTTTTGATCTTGTACAAAGTAAATATATATGTCTAAGTTTGTTATCCATATTTGTTGCTTGTCTAGGGTCATCTTGTATAAGTTTAATGCTTATTTCTTGCGAGAGATTTCTGTCAATTATGTATCCATTGAAAATGATTGGACTGCAAAATAGACGAAAGGTAATTGTTATATTTCTAGAATGGAGCGCTGCAATAATTAGTTCACTGATACCTGTATTCGGCTGGAACAATTATCGTGACAGCGAAAGTTTGCAGTGTTTTGATCGAAACATATGGCCTCAAGAATATATTCAATGGATAAATGGTCAATTTGTCGGTTTAATCATACTCAATATTATCTGCTACGCCATTGTCGTACGCGTTGCTATCAACAAAGCTAGACAAAGGTCAGCGCGAGTAAGTGTTGCACAGAGAGTCAAAGGTGCAAAGGATTTGCAAAATGTTATAACAATGGTAATAGTGTTAGGAGTGTTCGCCCTTTGCTGGTTACCATATGTAACGATGTTCATTGTTGTTCAGTTTTGGGACACGAGTCAATCAGATTACATAAGAAGAGTGAGTCTTATACCAGGGCTCTTGAATTCATCTCTGAACTGGATTATATATGGATACAGAAACATGGAGTACAGAAAAGCCTTTAAAAAGACTTTGAGAAAACTACTTTGTAGAGATGATAATGCACATGTGACAATGATCAGTTAAAGTGGTAGAGTTATTGGATTCAATACTTCTGTTGTATGAAGTCTTCTTATCAAATAATATTACTACATGTGTAAATTTAATGTTATGACTAGTGACCCGGAATGAATTAAGCTTATAAAATCATTGCAATAAAAATTACTTCGTTTTGTGATGATACAAGAAAGTGTAATCAAACATGACGTTATTAAAACAAAAGGATAGTTTGGAAATAGATAAAAATGCAAAATGTTTGTGTTAATGATGATAAATAGTTTGAAATGTACTTCTCAGTAGTGTCAAAGAAGACGCCGCGATAACGAATGGAATTTTACAGTACTTTACCACATGCACGTGCCTTCAGTTAATCATTATCAAACTAACAGATTAAAATTGGAGAAATGTTTTGCATATAACATGGTCTTTAGCGCTAATCATGGGAAACAATACAGCTTATATAACTTTATCCATCAAACTGTTTCATAACATGTATTCATTGTGTTTCTGCTTTACTTAGACAATTCTACTAATAAGTATATAATATATTATTTTTTAATTTCAGAGATATAGTTGTGTTTGCTCTGCTTACTCGTCAATACTTTCACTTACCATTATTTAAGGATAATGTTGATAAACCTAATTCTATATCAAATTACATTTTCCCGTGTTCGTGGTGTTTAGTCATTAAAAATAACCCTATAAAAGTATTTAAACTACATGTATTTCTTTAATTACACTGGCTTGTCATTCAGCTTAAACAAACAAAGGGTTATTTTAGAATATATTACCACAGTAGTTCCGCTTTTTACCATTGTATATCTATCCCGATTTAAAAGCTTGAGATCTCTGCACGAGGAAACGTTCTCTATAATACTCTATAATTACTGAATTAAAACGCCCATGCTAAGAGAATATCGGTTTTGTATAAGATTGTATGGGTATTTGTGCGATCTTGAATGAAGTTGGTCATGCATTTAATGTCATTACATAGCAGTTTTAAAACATTGTTTGCATACGAGGAGATATATAGGAAAATGTATTTGTAAAAGGGTACTGATTTACTACTTATTTATTTATTTAATGTTTTTGGTTTTTTTTTAACTTAGGTGACGCGTGAGAGTATGCCCATACAAGAGTTTATAGTAAGTGAACAGGTGAAAGTCAAAATCTGTTAAATTTTGCCATAATTACTTCCAGTCTTATGATTTAATTGGCATAAACGATAAATAACTCACATGGCCTAATGGAATTTCTGGAAGAATCCCTCAGAATATACCCGTAAAGTTTAAATTATTATAAAGAATGGGACAGTTGTTTGATATTTAACGCAGATTTATATTTTATTCTTGACATTTTGTAATACAAAATGTTTGTCTATCACAATTATAACAGCCAGTCTTTAGCCATATATAGACAATGCAAAGAAACGATTAGCATTATGTATTTTAACGAACCCCATGAGTCCTTGGCGTATCAAAAATCCACAAGAGTCAAACCCATATTATCATAATAATATTATGTTATTAATAGTGTTGGTATTCCACTCTTTAAACTTCTTCGACATTAATGAAAATCGGATACCGACCAGTCACAGAACTGAATGGTATTAAACTGCTGGTAAGGTCAAATTCAAAATTCAAAGTAACTTGTAGAACAAAAACCCTGAATTTAAAATCATATTAAATGTCAAGAACGCATTTTATGTTTTCGGCTTTTCATCTGCATAACATTCGACTTTAAATGCGGTTTTGTACCATTAGGAAAAGTTTAAAACAAAAGAACAAAGAAACAAAAGAAAACCTCTAGCTATCAAATATCACATTATTTATTATATTTCTTTCACAGAAATACATTTTGATTTTTCAACATTGACCCTTACTAAGCAGCCTTAGTATGTTCAAATACATCAGAAATGTCATATATAAAGTTAGCAAATATTTTCAAAGCAGTGGTTTAAGAAAGAAAACTCTGGGTTTCGCATATTTGAATTTCTAGAATGATTCTTTATGGAACGCATATCTTGTATGTAAGGTAGAATACGTATTGCAATATCTTGCGACATCAGTGCACATAGCAACAGGACCACACGCAAAAACGCCTACAGTACACCTGAAAAATGGAAAACATTATTAAATATTGACGTTGCAATAACCATTTAATTTTTTTTTTAATTATGAAATAGTGGTTTTGAACAAGGTTCAATTATTAAACCTCCACTTTCCGATATAATAGTGTATGCATTTAAACTAATCATTATGTTTATAACGTACACATATAAAGCGGCGATTCATTAGTTTTTGCTAATCATTGTGTAAGTCAGAATGACTTGATGTAATAACGGAATAAACAGAAAGTGTAATTATACCCGAAGCATGTGAACAAATCACTTCTGTATAGCCTTCAACCGTATCAAAAGTTATTTTGGATCTTTTATTGTAAGGACAAATACCAGTCTAATTCGTGACATGAACTGAAAGGGCTTTATACAAAGTAACTGTTATAGAACAATTTTTACATTTTGGTACGCATAGCTTAGGTCATAACAACAGTGTGAGACGGATAATATGTTTTACCTATTTTACAATGATTGAATCAAAATTTAAAATATTGACTCAAAATTTGAACGGATTTTCGTTCAAGGTGGACTTACCTTTTATTGGCAAAGGTCGTTTTCGCAGACATATTTTTGAAAATCTGACCAAGTTGTGGGCGGCCATTCTGTATTTTTGCACTTGTCACTGCATTCTGAAAGCAAATCAATTAAAACAGTTTTCATCAAGGAATTTAACAAGTTGTATGCATAATTATTTTTAAATGGCGATACTACTCATCCTTGAGTATATTGCTTAATTTTCTTTGGCATATTTTTCTGATTTTAGCGGCCCAGCTGATCTACGTACTAAGTAGTTCTAAGTTTATGTTTTTTGGTCTTTGAAACAACATTGAGTTCCTTTAAACATTTGTAGCTTGATAGGTAAATATAAAAAACTACAAACTACAACAAATTCAAAACATTACTGTTTCTGATTAAATGACCAGTCCAGTCTATATTTTTTATTTATAATGAGGCAAATAAAATATAAAATCAATCGGTATGACTAAGTTTTACAAATTTACTAACTAAACGGGTGCCAGTACAGGAAATGCGCTTAAAACGAATGAGCGTTGTTATTCGTCTAACAATCATAATAATGTGTGAGAGATCGTGTACGCCGAAATGAAAATGATTTACCTTATTTTTTGTGAGTTTTCCAGTGTAGAAAAGTTTAACATCAATATCAACTCTTCCGTTCACCTGAAAAAGAAAAGTCAAATTAGAACGATTTTCACGCGTGTAACGAATGTCAATGTGGAATGTTTATTTTATTTTGCAATCATCTTTCATTTCATATTCTAAGTGACCTTGTATAAGTTCTGAAGGTATTTATTTTTGGTCAAGTTTACATTTAAGGAGATCTACATTTATGAACAATCTACATACATGTAATTTATATAGCGCGCATTATATGAATTTATTTTGGAGATACCCAGACAACATTTAATTTCACTGTTTTATAAAGTTCATATAATTTCTTGTGTACTTAATGTCATTTTTAGAAAGTCAAAACTAACATATCAGAAATAAAGTGATTTCGGCAGCTTGGCAGAATAGATTTTTTTTTCTATACCCTGAATTACAAAGGGCAATACTGATATTCAAACCTTTTCGCATGATTTCTGAATGGTTTCAAAAGAACTTTGGAGAATATCTTCATTTCTTCCAGCAAAAATAAGATGTAAACATTTCAACTTTATCTTTTTGTTCTTGCCCCTGAAAAAGAATGTAAAAGCATAATTAGAATTGTTTATTTGTTCAGCAATAGTCATAAAAGTGTTTCTATATAAATTATACAGAAAGTATAAAGTATACTAAATAAGAAAATTTACGACAAGCCATTTTTGTGTTTCTATTACATGTATACATATATATAGTACGTATATTCTCTCGACTGTTCTAATTTAAGCCCTACTATTAATATCCTATATAGAAACTTCTCAATACATAACATTCACATTTTAATCAAAAAGAAAGAAAGATCGGTTTCAGTTTTAATAGATATATTTCATTTGTATCACTTGTTATGTTTTAGCTCTCATGTCGCATGGATAATTGTAATGGTAAAGTTGCCCTGTTAATCGAAAAACGCCTAAGACGCTCTTCTGCGCGTTGTTTAAAGTCACTCTGTTTATCCATGAGTAAACCACCGTAATTTACATAAATATCTAAAAATATCCATCCGAATTTATCAGAAAGATTCAATTTATAAAAAGTGTGGGAGTCTTTTCATATCTTAGGTAGGTCAATGTTGTTACATTTTTCTGGTCCTTCGGGGTCGTTGATATCAACACTTTTAAGTGTAGGAAATTGAGTACCACTCAACTCGGTGCTAGGAGGCGTGAGGGAGGTTGTTATTTTCATTATCCTTTATGCACAAACTCAATGAAACCGAGTCTGCAATTTTCATGTAATTTTGTTATGATTAATGCTTCTTAGGGATCACACTTTATCCAGATTTTTGTGCCCCAAAGTTAGTGGCGGGCATTTAGATTTACCCTTGTCCGTCCGTCCGTCCGTCCGTCCGGCCGCCCGTCCTCCGTCCGTCCGTTCACTTTTGTGTCGCCGTAACTCGAAAAGTATTTGACCTAGAGTCATGAAACTTTACAGGAATGTTGATCAGCATGTGTAGTTGTGCACCTGGGTTTTTTCGTCTGGATATTTTTAGTATTTTCAGAGTTATTGCCCTTGACTTAGTAAAATTTTGCAATTTTCAACTAGTGTCGCACGTAACTCAAAAAGTATTTGACCTAGAGTCATGAAACTTTACAGGAATGTTGATCAGCATGTGTTATTGTGCACCTGGGTATTTTCGTTTGGATATTTTTAGTATTTTCAGAGTTATTGCCCTTGACTTAGTAAATTTTTGCAATTTTCAACTTGTGTCGCATGTAGCTCAACAAGTATTTGACCTAGAGTCATGAAACTTTACAGGAATGTTGATCAGCATGTGAAGTTGTGCACCTGAGTATTTTCGTGTGGATAATTTTAGTATTTTCAGAGTTATTGCCCTTGACTTAGTAAAATTTTGCAATTTTCAACTTGTGTCGCACGTAACTCAAAACGTATTTGACCTAGAGTCATGAAACTTTACAGGAATGTTGATCAGCATGTGTAGTTGTGCACCTGAGTATTTTCGTGTTGATATTTTTAGTAGTTTCAGAGTTATTGCACTTGACTTAGTAAAATTTTGCAATTTTCAACTTGTGTCGCACGTAACTCAAAAAGTATTTGACCTAGAGTCATGAAACTTTACAGGAATGTTGATCACCATGTGTAGTTGTGCACCTAGGTATTTTCGTTTGGATTTTTTTAGTATTTTCAGAGTTATTGCCCTTGACTTAGTAAAATTTTGCAATTTTCAACATGTGTCGCACGTAACTCAAAAAGTATTTGACCTAGAGTCATGTAACTTTGCAGGAATATTGAACAGCATGTGCAGTTGTGCACCAGGTATTTTCTTCTGGATTTATTTAGTATTTTTAGAGTTATTGCCCTTGACTTAGAAAAATTTTGCAATTTTCAACTTGTGTCGCAAGTTACTCAAAAAGGATTTGACATAGTCATTAAACCTTATGGGCAGGTTGCTCGGCATATTTAAATTTGCACCTGTGGTTTCGCTTGTGGATTTATCCAGTATTTGTAGAGTTATTTCCCTTGACTTTGTAAAAAGATTGACAGAACAGTGGCGCGGTTGGGGCATCCGTGTCCTATGGACACATTTCTAGTTATACTTCACAACAGCAGGTGTCAAGTGTTGTGTGGCAGCTGTAAAAGTTGCCCCGAATCCACTTCAGTGCTGCTTTATTTGTATGGTCCTTATGGATCATTGATTCCAACACTTTAAAATGTAAAAATTGAGCACCGCTCAAGCCGGTGCTAGGGGGCATGAGGGATGTTGCACCTTTTATTATCCCTTATGTAAAGACTCAATCAAACCGAGTCTCTAATTTTCATGATTATATGAATATATTATCATTATTAATCATTATCATCATCATTAATCATCATCATCATCACTTTGTGTTGTCAACATTATATTAATATTTGATCATAAATATTCATCACTTTTATTTTATAATTATCATCGTCGTTTCGTCATTATCATATCATCCATTTCGTTTTCAAGAAAGGAAACTCTGTATGATAACTAGATAAGTAGATAAAAACAATCTTGGCATCACCTGTCTTCTGCTAAGTATAAAATATGGGATAAAAACGGAGTTATCCCAACGCCTCCGGCAATGCATAGAGCAAATTTGTACTTTAATATGTTTTCCATCGAACTGCTATATGGCCCATCAATCTGGACTGTTGGATATCTGAAAAGATAATATTCGTATTTTAATTTTCAAAATGAAAATTAGACATAATACATGCTATCAAAATATCAAAACATCTAACTGAAGGATTATGGAAATCTGTATCCCCACATGGAAATCTGTATTGGCATAAATAGAGAAAAAACGAAATTCCTAAAGGACAACCAAAATGGTAAAATTTAAAATGTCGCAGGCTCGATTTAATTGGGCCTGCTAAAAACAGTACTCGTAATTGCATGTTACCGTACATTATCATTCTTCAGTCATATGTCATAACAATTATAAGATTGTGTTACACTATGATCGAATTTAAAAGTAAACATAGGGAAGCGTCCTGGGGCAAATTAAACATGTTCAATAACAAGAGCTGTCGGTAGGACAGCACGCTCGACTATTCTAAGTGTTTGATAGTAAAAGAGCCTGGATAATGTTAAATTTTTTAAGTTCACAAAAGGGCTAATTTTTTTTATAAATTCATGTTTAAGGCCTGAGAGAGAGTCTAATTATACAGTATTGGCTTGACTATTCGGAAGGTAATGTCACAAGGGTGTTTTATTGAGTATAATAATACTAATTACCTATGAATACATAAATTTGACAGAAAAGGTACAAAGGCTTGTTATTAAGATGTTTTATCAAGTAAATCACTGCTTAATTATTATGAATGCATAAAATTGTCCCAAAAAAAGGCACAAACCCTTCAGTAGTTATTGAGATAACAGCTTACAAGCAAAACTTTACCATGAATTTCTAAGTTGAAAAAGGGGAGAAAAATCAGCCTTAATGCAAGATAGAATTGTGGATTTTTGTCAGTGACCTACAATTATGACCCTAAATGCATATGTGAAGTTTTAAATAAATAACTTTAATAGTTATTGAGATATGTAAAATGTGCATGTAAACATTAACCAAGAGACTAAGTAGAAAACGGGATATGAATCAGCCTTAATGCAAGATAGAGTTGTGGAACTTGGTCAGTGACATACAATTATGACCCTCCAATTATGACCCTTAGTGCATGTGTAAAGTTTCAAGTAAATATCTTTGAAGACCTTTAACCTTTAACTAAAATTTCTAAGTTTCAAAGGGGCAAATAATTTTGCAAATATTGCAGGCAGAGTTATGCAATTTTGCAAACTGGTGTACATTGTTACTATAAAAAAGTTTATAAATTTCAATTGAATATCTCAAGCAATAATTGAGATATTTGACTTTACAAAAAAAATTTAACCAAAATTTCTAAGTTCCAAAGGGGCATAATTCTGTCAATATTGTAGGCAGAGTTATCCAACCTGTCAATCTGATGAACCTTGTTACTGTAAATAAGTGTTGTAAGTTTCAATTGAATATCTCAAGCAATAATTGAGATATTTGACTTTACAAAAAACTTTAACCAAAATTTCTAAGTTAAAAAGGGGCATAATTCTGTCAATATTGTAAGCAGAGTTATCCAACTTGTCAATCTGATGTACATTGTTACTATAAATAAGTATTGTAAGTTTCAATTGAATATCTCAAGTAGTAATTGAGATATTTGACTTTACAAAAAACTTTAACCAACGCAGACGCCGACGCGGACGCTGACGCCGACGCCGACGCCGGGGCGACTACAATAGCTCTTATATTCTTCGAATAGTCGAGCTAAAAAATGATAACTCCTACGTAGGACTTTATCAGTCCTACGAATGACTTTGTAACACCTACGTAGGACATTTTAAACTCCTACGTAGGACTTTTTAACTCCTACATAGGAGATAAAAAAAACTAATTAGGAGTTTATAACTTAACATTTTTACAGAACATGTTTAATTAGCACCAGGACGCTTCCGTTTAAACATTTAATTCTAAACATAAGCAAATGATAAAATAATAAAATACCTTTGCATTGGATCCTCGCAGCATGATCCCGATTTTGTTCCCTTTGTTTTCTCTACGAATTGATCTATGAAATAATCAATATGATTCTCTTTGAAGATAATAGGTATATTTCATATATATTACAACATTATTCGTGTAACCATATATATGTTATTTCTATATTTAAAAATGTGACCTATCATCACTGTGGGTTTGAATCCCACCAAAGACGTTGATTTCTTTCATGTCAGGAATATATCCAGCTAGCTGACGGAAGGTCGGTGGTTTTACTCTGGTGTCCGTACACGAAGTGCGCAAAGGAGCGCGTGAGATTCTTAAATCAAAGTTATTCTAAAATAAGACTTACTCAAATTATAGTATTAGAAATAAAAGTTTTTATTATTACGAATATAAGACAAAAGGGGCGCAACATTGAATTTATCTATATAATTATTAAAAAATCCCCTCCCCCTACCCCTAAAACACCCCTTCAGCCCCTACCCCTCCCAAAGAAAAAATAATAAAATAAATAAGTAAGTAAATAAATAAATAAATGGATGAATGAATGAATGAATGAATGAATGAATGAATGAATGAATGAATGAATGAATGAATGAATGAATGAATGAATGAAAATTATATACTTATTGATAAAATATTGAGAAATGTTGATGCAATAAAATGCGCATTTTCATTTTCCATATTTTTTACTGTAAAAAAATATGTTTTAACTGCAGTGAAACATATGTCCGTATTTTCACCGATGTCTTGTCGGACTACGTTCTCCTAAATTCAGTCAAAATAGGGGAGATCTTACGACTTGTAATGTCACAATGTTGAAAATGTATAATAATTTATGTAACTAACAAAAAAGTTTTGTTTTTTTAATAAATTATCATACATGATTTATTTTCATATTGTGGTATGAAAAAAATCGTATTCCACTCGTGGTTACTGTCACTCATAAAATATTTGTTTTCATACCACTCTGTGAAAATCTATCCTGTATTTATAGAAAGAACTTTCAAGAATACGCTCTGTATAATAAAAATAGAATAAAATAAATAATAAAAATAGAAAAGAAATAGATAATTTTTAAAATTAAATAATTACATAAATTTCTAAAATGAAAATTTCTTACCTGTCCAATCGCCGGATGATTTGATCCAAAGTTTAAAAATATTGTTATTACAGATTGTAGGAACCTAGAAATAAAACAAGAAAGAAAATTTATCTAGGCTGTACAATTTGTTTTTGACGTATTTGTATGGTAAAGTGAGATGTAGTTTTATTCAATATGTACTAGATCCTTCCTTTGTTTTTTCATGGTTACGTCTGTGGTCAAGGTTGAGGTGTCTAATTTTAACATGTTCATCACCATTACGATCACCTCCTGAAATATTGAATCCAGTTCCATATGAAATTTGTCCAGCTGAGTAGCGGAAGGCCAGTGGTATTACTAAGGTACATTTTTGTGTCAGAAAATAATGCTCGAAACTTGACCCTGAAGTTTTCTTTTACTTATAAATCTGGACAGTCGCTATTTAACCTGTTAAGTAAATTTGTGACGCGAAACCCTAACTAGTTTTCTTTTCGAATAAGTCTTACGCATTTAGTATAATAATGTTATTGGGTAGGTTTATATATTTAAAAGGTTTGAGTCTAATTTATTGTAAATAGAGGATATTCAAGATTTTCTATAAATACTACACTTATTTTTATCGAGTGGTATGAAAATAGATATTTTATAAATGGCGCTTACCACGAGTGAAATATGATAATTTTCATCTCAGAGGATGAAAATAAATCCTGTTTTTATATATAAAAGATCTTTAATTTTCCGTTTATTATATACATTTTCTCTTTTTGACATTTCAATTAAAAGACTTCGTTTTTAAATTTTGTGTACTGGCAGAATTCTAAAGACAGTAGTCCGGCAATACACCAGTAAAAATGCGGAAAATATGTTTCATTGCAGTGAAAAATATATTTTAATTGAAAATACGGAAAAAGATAATGAAAACGCATTCCATTTCATAATTATTTCTCAATTATATTTCATTTATAAGTATAAACTAAAGAAACTTACCTGAACTACCGAGAATGGATGCCATTCAATAGTGGAGATTTGATTACAGTTGACAAATACATACTGAAATAAATAGAACCCTTTAGACACCAGTCTTCTCAAATTTAAAAAATAACGAAAGAAAAGATAAAAAATAATAAAAAATAATAATCAAAATTAAACAATTAGAATCTAACGCCAAAGGAAATCTGTTAAAATGTTTATTATTGAAATTATCAAAATTGCTGACGTCATTATTGAATTACGTAACAATTTACATAAAATACTTTCAAATCATAACATAATAAGATTTTGTAACCTGTCCTGGTCGAGGTTTGAGATCTGAGTTATAAAAAGACACTTCTATTATATCGTCACATATATGTCGAACATCGGATATTTCGGCGGAATGTCGTCTGCGGAAAATTCTGCATACAACGTCACATATGTATATCAACACTGGAATGCCTACCCACAACCATGTCTGTAACATTTAAAAAATTTACTTGCACAATCAACTCAAATAAAAAAATGTGACGTGAATTAAAAGTATAACTGATAAAAAGCAAAACATGTTTGTATTTTATTCAATTGGTATTGTCACACAACTGCTTAGGTTTATTTTTTAAAGAGTATTTAAATAAATAACGCATTTATATACTGGTAAAATATAAGACTGACTAACAAAACGAAATGTTTGCAGCGCGTTAACAGAGAAACAATAATCCGTGGAAATAAAGTGAAATCCATGCTAGGGTTTATGGAAGTGATTATCCGCCAGCTCACCTATTATGCTTTATGACATTCGTTTTTACTTTTGCGATAGTGAATTTGATGTTAGATTTTGGTTATTTTCAAGACTTGGTGTATTTCGTATATTTATAATTATAAAAGTATTTTGAAATATATCGTTGTTATACGTTAATTTTATTTTTATACACGTTTTTAATTTCTTGTTTTATTCTGAAAATTGGTATGATTTCCCTTAAAATATATTTTAAACATTTTAATTCAAAATCACACATTAAAATCAACATTAGGTATTCAGTGTATGGACGCTACCAAATATGTGTTAATTCATTTGTAATAAAATGTTCAACATTTAATCAAAACAATCGAAACATCATTCGCGGTATAAAATGCTGATTAACATTGACTCATTAAAACAAAATTGTCTTCATAACAATGTTGACGTTATCAAAAAACGAAGCGGGGAACCAATTTTTGAAGTGCGTTTTCTTACGACAAAGGTCGCTGTTTAATACTAACTGATCCCTTTCGGTGCGGACGTAAAAATCACCTCATAAAAAAGATCCGATCAAACATCGTGATACCCTGCCTTGAAAAAAGCTGTTACTAGCTCTATATACAACAACAACGAACATGTTTTCTCTTGCATAATGCGTAACATATCATTTTTATTCTTTAAATTAACTCATTTTGGAAGATCTTTCAGAAAAGGTATGCATGTGGAATACTGTATGCGGCGGATTTTGAGATATTTTGCCTCAAACTTGGCCTTTTTACAATACTTTATATATAGGGGGAAATATTTGGTAGTCATTAACCTCCACATGATCGGATTAGTTTTCGTAGTATCAGATTTGTGAACACCAGTCAGGGAGCGATTATTATTTTTTACATTTTACCAGTTATTCCCCCTTGATTAAAAGGGCCAATTCTAGCGCAAAAACCTAATTAATTTTGAATTATACTTCGAAACTATTGGTGTGCTATGCAAACTGCTGTTTCGAATGCATGATACACAATGTCAGCATGATTTTTGTAAAATAAATACTGAAACACTGTAAGAATAAAATGTGTGTCAAATTAATTTTAGAAAGCAGATTCAAATAAAGGAAAATTATATTTGAAAGCCAGCAAATTAAATATCTAATTATAGTTTGCATGCATATATGTTTACAGCCTTAGAACTGAAGTGTAAATTGAATGTTCGCATATTTCAATATGAACTCGAGTTACATCAGCAAGTACAACATCTTAAGTTTGCAAAATGATTACAACGTATTAATAATAATGTCTTCATATTAATAACAATGTTTTCATAATAGTAATAATGTCTTCCTATCAATAAGAATGTCTTCAAAATAATAAGAATGTTTTCATATTAATTACAATGTATTTATATTAATTAGAGTGGCGGATAATCCATTCCATAAGGGTTAGATACGTATCATTATGATGTTACCATCAGTGAACAATATATGGCACACATTAATAAATATTGAATAAAACAGGCCCGAATTCAAAATATATACAATACTCGAACTTATCATTAAAAGTTCAATGTTTAATCAAAATGATTTTGCATATTACACTGGTAATCTTGAATTAAGTTGAAGAGCATTACTCATACGGGGAAGAGGGTGGATAAACAATGTTATAATTTCTATCAAACTTACGTGACAGCCTATTGGAACAAATGTTGGCATTTCTGAACAAGTTTCGTTCGATATATAAATGCTGGAATTGTCAGTGGTATTGCTGGTGATTATCACCATTGTCTCATCAATACGGTTTCTGTGGCAACCAGGTATATGTTTATCAACGTTTATCTGTTTGCGCAATGGTCCTCTTTTAAAGTAAATAAGATAACAAAATGTGAATGAAATGTATGATTCTGTTATCTTCCCAGAATTTTATACTTAAAATGTTAAGCCCCTAAAAGAAATTGTCGGAACACGAATTTTTTTTTTCCATTGTATTATAAGAAATAGAATTAAACTAAAAAGCAATTGTTATGAAATTATGGCATTATGAAACTGTTCTTAAAAATGACACAAGCGGCAGATGTTTTCAATCTGATTGAAACCAGCTCCTAATTAAAGCTACGCAAAAGGATCTGACGACTAACAAAAGGTAACCATCTTCTCCTGACCTTTCAAACAGCCAATCATCGGTGAGCTTTCACAATTTTCAAAGCGATGCGGTTTCTTATTTTAAACCGCTGGAAAACCTATACTAAGTAGGCAAATTTTACTATTTCAAGTACAGACATGACGTCACCCATACACGCTACATGAATGAAATAACTTAAGTAGATCTGATCAGAGATGTTTTGTTCTTATATTCACAAAAGAATGGATTTTCCATTTTTGTAACTCACTATGCAATTAATTGTCAGAAATGCCTACACACATAACCTCCGACCTTAACATTCAGTAAAAGTATTATAGACCGTTAAATATAACAAAAACCCTAGGCTTTGATTTACTGTTAGGTAATATATTTACCTGAATCCATGAAATACAAACAATAAATAGAAAACTACAAATATTCTATGGCTGTACCAAAACGTGTTAAAACAGCGGCGTCTGCAATGAAAAAAGTCTTCAGAAATAACAACAGCTGCAACATCAGATATTTAGCTAATTCTGTGCGATATTCAATATTTGTGTGTATCTGAATTAGTGTTGTGTATCGGACTCGAAAATCACTATCGACAATCGGACCACCACAATCGATTGTCTTCCGATAGTATAATCGAGTTTCGCATTTATTATGGCCCTTTTTTCTTAAAGTATCAATCCTTGTATGTATTTTTTTCTACAGTAGTGACCACATTTTGAGAATATATAAACTCTTGTCTCCAAGATTAAAGTAAGATGTATTCTTTGAATCCAAAACAAAAAACATAAATACCTAATACAACTTTGTGACAGGCAATTTTTGTATTACAACTTTATCAATTTTTAAAAAGAACTATCGATTGTTTTTGGGGTGGTCCGATTAGTTATCGATTTTCAGAGACAATCGGGAAAACACTAATCTAAATGATATATATTTTTGTTTGCATTTAGAGGAGATTTTTAATTTAATCAGCCAATTAAATCTATAAAATATAATGCCTTTGTTAGTTTATTAGTTTACATAAATTTATGTTAGTTCGGTTGCGTTGTAAGATATTTTATAAGCGTATTGAAACACTTTCGAATCCCTTTCTGGAACCAACCGGTACTTAACGATGAGTGTAATGTTTTTTCCTCTCGAAAACAACGGATTGCCCCTGACAGGGTTTGAACCCACTCGGCTAGCACTTATTAGATAACTACCTAACCATTCGGCCATGCCGCCATGGTTTATTTCTTTAAGATTTTGTTTTATGATAATTGGGTGTAGGTGTGGACCAATAGCTTGAACAAAATTTGAGATCATTCTCTCACTTCAGAAATTCTCTTGAAATAGTGAATTGTATTGTGCAATCTAACCTCAAATTGAAACGCTGCAACGCTTTTCACTCAAATAGGCCCAAAAAGTTGCATAAAACGATTATGTAGAGGATATTTGTTTAGTTCAGTGTAAGATCGTATTATAATTCCCTGAGTGAGCACCAAAAGGTCTAGTTCACGAGTGGCGCAACCACGTGTGAAATATGAACTTTGAGTGTTCACGAGGTGAAATATATTTCGATCTTACTGAAATATATTTCGATCTTGTAACTCTAACGTAAACAAATTTTCTTTTTATTATACGCAAAATAACGTTTTAACCTAATGTTAAATAAAACGTGCGCCAAATAATAATACCACGTGTCACGTCAGTATTTGATTTCCAGTACTGTTCACGTTGGTATTTCACTGAAACAACGTAACGGGCTTAAATTCAAAACAGTGAAAATTATCAATTTGATAATTTCACTGTTTCAAACAGTAAAATTACAGTTTTTTATTTTAACTGATATAGTTCTATAAACTACCGAAACGCATGTAATAAAAATATCTTATTGTGTATATTTATACATTTTCTGTATCATAGATTGTCATTTAAGTGCACCAGTTGAGTTACATGTACGAACTATTTTCAAATTTTGTAATTTTAGGCTTTTCAGCCTCAGCGGTATTTCTTTCAGTAAGGCAATATAGTGGAAATTAAAAAATCCTTACCTCACTACTTTGAGACTTGTCAAAAAGATCATCAGCAATATTAATGTCATTAATATACCCGTAACACCGGTTACTGAAAGAAAATAAGGACGTAAAGAGATTTTTGTCACGGAAAGGGAGATAAACGTTTCGTGACAAATACATTAAGTATGCAAAGAGTTATCTGCAAAACTGTTTTCATGCCAGTACAGAAAATAAGGAATAACCAAAAGTAACAACGTGAAATGAAAAGCAAGTTTTTATAAATACATATCTTTTTTTTTCTTTTTCAAATGTGAATCATAGTTTTGTTTAGAGTAAGTTTTTAAATAATTTTTATGTATAAAAAAGGTTAGTTTTTCTTCAAAATATGAATTATATAATACATGATTAAATGAAACTTACCTGTCCCAAAAACAATGCTATATATCTGCAAACAAATATTTATTCATTTAATGCAGGTTTTGACATAAAAAAACTAAGTTAAACACAAGGCCAAGTATTATAATCTTACAAGGTACGTATTTACTTTTCAATGAAAATGCAACATTTTATTAAGATATGTTTTCATTTTATGTCAATAAATACTTGTTTCTAAACGTGATAATCCATAAAGTTTAAACATGATTGTCAATCGATAAGAGAAGTGATGGCCTAGTGGTTAAGGTATCTGCCTCTCAAACAAGGGATCATGGGGTCGATCCCTTATTTTATCGGGTCACAACCATGTTTCTGCATAATTATGACACAAGTACTGGTTGGTTCCAGGAAGCGGACTCGAGAGTGATTAATATAAGCGCAAGAACTTGTTCCGCAATCGAGCTTATATAAATATGATTAATCCTAACAGTTAATAACCTCAATCTATGTCACAGTTATTGTCTATATAAATTATGGGCTGTTTAATATCCTGTCCATATACTCGTCGAGTTTTTTTAAAAATTCAGACAAATGCGCCATCCTTTTTACTGGCACTTTTTTTAATTTTAATCATCTAAATCTAGGACTGTTACCTTTGGTTTATATGAAAATGGATTTACTTCAAGAAATTCTTCATGGAAGTTTTCACAGAAACTGTTGATATTAACAACATGTGCAGCCACATGGACACCTTTAACAAAAAAAATACGAAGTTAATTTAAACTTTATGTAATATAAAGGTGTAAAATCTAAATGCTGCAATATTACATAACAAACAAAATCATTTAAAGTGGCATTATGCTAATTCTGTCGTTGTCAAATTGAGTTGAAATAGTTATATATTTTAAAACATTGGCTATAAAGCTACAGTCTAACTAACATCCCAGCAGAGCCCCGGTAGACGTCCGTGCTGATTTTGGAACGACCAGAAACAACCGGAGCACATCCGTAATTCTGCCGGCAACGTCCGGGATGATCCGGGAACATCCTGCATTCGACCCCGAACGAAATAGATATTTAAAATCACTGGGGTGGTCCAGGATTATCCGGGAAGTATAGCTTTGCCGGCTTCGTCTCGGCCGGGAACGACCAGGGTTACACCGGGGAAGCACCGTAGCTCTGCAGGCACAAACCAGGGATGATCCAGGGTATGATATAGCCGGTAGAGCAACGGTAGAGCCCCGGTGAATGCTGGCAGAGCCCTGGAGGATGCAGGCAGAGCCCCGGAGGATGACGATGCAACTACGGTTGATCCCGGTAGAGCCCCGGTAAAACTCGGTTCATTTAAAAAGAATCACGACAATTCGCGATAATTTCACTTGTTTGTATTAAGACCCTTCCCATTTCCCTTCTATCCAGTCTTGCGGAAGGATTTTTCAGAAAATTATCATAAATTACTGTTCTGGAACAATTGATATCATATTAAATAAAAATTATGTAACAATGTAATAATTTTCGCGCGTCACCCACCGGGATTCTACCGGGACTCTGCCTGGATCGTCCTGGGCTCTGCCAGGGCTCTGCCCGGATCGACCGGGGCTCCGGCGTCATCCGGGAACGACCGGGGAAGCACATGACATGAACCGTAGCTTCACCTGGGCTCTGCCTGGATGGTCCGGAGCGCATCCTGGGTGATTAGTTGGGAATTACCGTAGTGCTGCCGGGGTAAGTGTGACCGCAACAATAATTTCACCCCGCCAGTAACTTACGGGGTTGTCCTGCGCGATGCCGGGAGTAAGTGAGACCGAAGCTTTATATTTTTTATTATGATGAATATATGTATGATACAATAAAAATACGTTATAAATTATAAAAAAAGACTGTCTCACCTTTAAAAAAAGTAGTGTAAATGATAAATTCTTAACTATATTATTTATAGAAACATTTGTTGGTCATATAGATTACTCAATGAGATCTATCTTCGTACAAAGTTTCTTGTTAATATCCTTTGTGGTTTTAGAGTTATATCCCGGACAAAGTTCTAAGTATAAAAATGAGCAAAGGGTAATAAATCCAAAATTAGACTATGCAGATAAAGTTTTTTATGCACTGCACTTCTAGTCAATGATATCTAACTAGCTACAAAGTTTCTTGTTAATACTCCTAGTCGTTTTAGAGTTATTTCGCGGACAAAGTTAAAAGTATAAAATAAACCAAGGGCAATAACTCCAAAATAGGGTTAGACAGAGTTATGATTCTTTCGCAATGCACTTCTATTTAATGAGATGTATCTACCTACAAAGTTTCTTGTTAATACCTATTGTCGTATAAGAGTTATGTCGCGGACAAAGTTCAAAGTGAAAATATACAAAGGGGAATAACTCCATCATTAAGTAAGGCCGAGTAACGGTTCCTTTGCACTTCTACTGAATGAGATCTATGTACATTCAATGTTTCTTGTTAATACGCCTTGTCGTTTTAGAGTTATGTCCCGGAAAAAGCTCAAGTGCAAAAAACAAAACAAAGGGCAATAACTCCAGAATTAGACAAGGCAGAGTAACGGTTCTTTTACACTGCACTTTTTTCCAATAAGATCTATCTACATACACACTTTGAAATTGATATCTCTTTTAGTTTCAGAGTTATGTCCCGGACAATAAATTTGCAACGGACCAACTGACCGACCACCATTTACCCCATTAAACTTCGTTTGTCGGGTAAAACTATAAATATATGAACATTGATTTACCTGTAGTTAATAATATTACATATCCTATGAATATATGGAATGATTTTGTTTCCATCTTTAGCCATCTGGTGTTGACAGTCACCTGGAAACGAGTTAAAAACAAGAAATCAATAAGTTAAAACTAGTTTGATAATTATGTAATATATAGCGGATAAGAAGTTTGCCTCTCAACTGAAGTATCGTTGGTTCGAACATTTCTTCGGCCACATTCATTTTATATGTGCACATGAAAGACATCATGAATAAAGTTTGTCGCATTCTTTTTCTAAAGAGACCGTTGTATTAAGCGACACTTTTTTGGGGTGTTTCCCTTGCGCGATCGCTTTATACACGTTTGACTGTACTGGGTAGTAAATTGTTCGATTAGAGAGTGCAAAGCGTTCATCATAATAGAAACGAATACAAAAACGTTTATTTTTTTTTTCATTTAAACGTTTAAATGATCAAATTATTCTTTATAAAACACAACAAACATTCGCATTGATCAAGAGACGATCACGATTTGATTTGTAAAATCTGATGATGGCTTATTATTTCATCTGCCGTTTAATAACAATTACAACGAATATTGTAATTATAAAATATGTGTCTTTATTATAATAACGAATTTTTGAATACCCTTCTCACTACTCTGTTGAGAAGCCAGACTAGTGTATGGCACATTGGTAACAACACAACTGCACAGTTCAGGTTCAAGACCGCAGCTGATCCTCGTGCAAGACATAGCCATGTCTGAAACATTAAAATGTAATTAAAAGATCAAATTGTTATTAAAGATTAAAACGTTTATATTATAAAGATATTTAGTTAATTTATAAATAAATACATAAACAACTTCTTTACCGGTATTAAAGAAAAAAACTTTGAAATTTAGAATTTTGCTAGTATTTTAATGAGCAAGCGTCATTCGTTCTTTAGGATATATACAAACATATTTCATTTATATCTTTTATGAATATATGTTTTATCTTTGAAATTTAAAAGAAACATATTTTAAAACACATCCACCATATAAAGCTTTAACCTTAAGCTCAAAAGCTCTTAAAATCCAATCTTTGTTATTTATAAGATATTGCGCAATTAGTCAGAAGTATTAGTCAGAAATATATAAACAATTGCATAATTTGAATAACAAAACTAATTAATAAACAGTAACTATAGTAATGTACAATTTATTCACTATGCAGTATTGGTTCGAGGTACATATAGTAATAGTTTTAATAAGACAATTATTTTGTATTTTTATGTTAATACCAATTAAAATTTTGTAAATATTATCCAATACTTTACTTAATATACAGTATAGCAAACCACAAAGTTGGAAATCCAGACAATTTGTATAGTTATGAAGTATGTTTAACATTGAATTGAAAAAGGCCGTTTTTTAGCAGCCTGAGCTTCAAAACCAATTAAATGGGAGCATTAAATGAAAATATAATGCATATTTTGATGCAGAGTAACGTTTGTTGTATCGCTCACAATATGACGTATTAATTAAACATAAACATTCCCGCCCCATTCTTGCTGCATATCAGTAAACAATAACAACAACAATATCAACAGCTGTAACACCTTTCGTCTTAGATCTGCGAGATAATATCTCGAGCATTTATTTCTAAGACGTACATGTTCCCCGACTGCATATTAAGTTCGCATAAAAAGCGACTTTAAGAGTTATACTATAAGGCGACAAGACAATTTCTTACAATGGTATTTGATAATAAATTTATTGTATTGAAATAAATTGTTTTTTTTAACATAAAAAATATAATATACGGAAATGTGATTCAAAGATTAATGTATATCCTTCGGAAAATACACATGTGACAAGAGGGCATTTTTATTATCTCGTGGCAAAGTGCTGATTTTTTTGGTCTAATTTCTCGTTACCACGATATATAAAGTAAAAGTAAACTAAACATTACTGTATGTCACCTCTCAGCTTCCGTAGTATTCTATATAAACGTTAAACTTTATTACCCCGAGAATTTCGTGCAGATATACATATTCTAGGCCAGTCCTGTAGTGTTCATAGGTTCTCCAGAATAATAAACCAGATACAACGCACCAGATTACCTGAAAATATCACCTGCATAATTAGCAATTAACTCTGCACTGCATTTCAATTAATACAGCTCCGTATTTCAGTTAATCGTGCCGCACACTAGACTTTCTTCCTTCATAGACGGATACCCATTTCTTCCGCTTAGACTGGTTTGCGGTACATTAGATAAGAACCTAAACTTATGTAATACATCCGGTTTCAGATGAAATATAACAGGAAAGTAACGTAAAAACTATTACAGTGAAACTTGCGTTACTGCTCACATATATCAAATAAGCAGACTAAATTTTCAGCCTTTTATATCATTTTTTTAATATGTTGAAAGTGATAATGTATTAAACCATGCTAAATGGTTGACACTTTAGATCTGCGGTTCTGACCTAAACTACCATTTTCATTATTTGTCCATTACACTATTCCAAAGACATACGTATTTTCTGTAAATTTTCTAAACATTTGTTTGTTTTATTTCTGAAATACTATCCTTCCATTGAAAGGTTCACATAATGTCTCGAGCGGTTTATAAACATAATAAGAAAAAAAGAAACAAAAAAAAAAAAATAATAATAATAAAAATTTATAAGAAAATTCAAGCAGCGCATTGCAGTTTTATTTTCAAGAATAACTAACTAATCTTGATAAAAGTGCACACACCCTTTAAGCACTAAGTAAACATATTATCACAATCAATGTAGATAAAACAATCTTTAGTTAAATAAAATATCATTTTTGATATATATAATAAAACAAGAAACGAATTGCGCTTCGTAGAATTATTGATGGAAATAACACATTTTAAATATATCGAGTACAAAGAAAAAATGATACTTAATTAAATCCTTGATAAAAAGTTTTAAGCTCAAAACAGTATGTTAAGTCACTTCGACTGATAACGTTTATTGAAATCTGTGATTTAGATTATCTCTAAAGGTATTCCATGTATTATCAAAATGCAAAAATTAGAACGAAATATTTTAGGATAATATAATATACATATATTAGCAAAATACATGTAACGTTTCAAAATAAGTCTCCAAGACATATAGTAATACTAATATTTTATATCTTTAAAACAGAAAATGATAAAACAGGAAACTTTTCATGCGTACTTAAGCAAACGAGTGCAACATTTCAATTGTGCCGTGTTGGTCGACTTGTTAAGGGTCCTTATTTTTCGGTTTCAGTATCTAGGTTTTAAACATAATCATGTGACTTGATACTTGACTTTTTTTCTTCGAAAAACCATTATGATTGTACTCTTTGCAAAATATGCTTTAAATGAGATAGTCCGAAGAAATATTCTTAAATGTTATTAACGAATTCAAATACAAATAATGATACTGATGCGGATGATTGATGATGATAATAATGATGATGCCGATGATGAGTACGATGATAAAGATAATGATAAAAAATAATAAAAATGTTACTTAAAATGTGTTTTTTTTCCGGAAATATTCTTCGAAAGGTGTGGACGTTTAAAAAATAATAATGATGCTGATGATGATGATAATGATGATGATGACGATGATGACAACGATGATAAAGATAATGATCATGAAAATGTTACTAATAATGATAATTATATTTTTCCGGAAATATTCTTCGAAAGGTGTGGAAGTTGTAAAAAATAATAATGATGCTGATGATGATAATCATAATGATGATGATGAATATTGTAGTAATGATTAGAATGAAAATAAAAATGATGATGATTATTATTACCACTTTATCCGTGTTTCTTTTTATATCAGTTGACATTCAAAAATCATTACTTTAATAAAAAACAATAAGATATAGTAAACATTAAAATAAAAAAAACGTCACTCACCCTTGTGAAATACTTAAATCCTTGATTATAACACTTGCCAAATTGAGAATTCATTTTTGTTGTTATTTATCCATGTTTTACCAAACGCTTTAAACCAATACATGTGCCTTCACCTGTTCTTTTTGATATTTCATTCACATTCATAAACAGCTCGTGAGTAATGTGCAACTACTTCTTTATCTCTCGCGAGATTACGGGATGCGTGACTAAGAATTGTCTTCGTCTGATTCATTAAACTTGTAAACAAAGAAGAATTAATTTTTGTCATATTTAACATATTCCTAGAAAGGTGTGGAAGTTGTACTTTTTTCATCATCTATTTAGTTGTTGCTTATCTTTTTTTTGTAGCACAATACATTATACGAAACATGTTATAAAGCTAATTATAATTTTGATATAACTTTATTATCTTTTTTTTTCTAGTATTATCCAATCCATTTCGAAAAATGAAAATAGGTTATTTTTCTAAAATAGATATTTAATTTAATCCGAACAAAATAATGAATAAAAAATAAACCGACAAACAAACATGATAAAAAAAAAAAACATAATTATGAAGGGAAGAAGATTATTGAAATAACTACACGTGTATATAAATAAATATATCATTTTAATTGTACCAATAGTAAAACAATCACATTAAGTAACCCGAGCTTAGTCGTTAAAATATACTTGATACTGGAAAATAAATTGATAAAAATGATTTTATTTTCTTAGTGCAACACGTAATTTTTTTCTTAGGAATAACTTAACATGCTACACAAGTTGTGTCTTTTATAATAAAAAGAGCGAATTTATAAATTTATTTCCTATGTCTATAAATATGAGCCTATGCCTAATCACCTTTAATTGATAGAGATGTTATTTTTCAGACGTTTTCACTAACTTTATTAGTGCCGTCAAAAGTTTCATGCGATAAAAATCAAGAAAAAGAAAATAAACGTGTGTTTCACCAATGAAACATGTTCAGCACACACCTTGTTTTGCTCATTTAGCTCTGACAACATTAAGATACTTATCTTTATTTCCTTTCTTTATAGTATAGTATAATATCATATTTTTGATGAGTATGGCACGTGGGCATGTGGCTAAGGGAGTGTGAAAGGAACGCTCTTAGAATTATGATAGGTGTTTAAAGGAAAAGTGGTAAAGCCAAGTAGTTGAAGCTTGATAACAAAAGGCCATTGAACCTTATCGCACGTGTTTTACTAATTTACATATAATTTCCTCTCATTATTTTGATAATTATTATCGCTGTTGACAGTTTGATTATACAGTTAAACCTTTCTGCAGAAACCATCATCACTTGTTAGCTTATAAATATGACATATGTAGACAGGTAGTCTATTGTAACAGTTGCTCGTACAAAACAGATGATCATGAAAATAGGTTTTATTTTTCGTTTATGTTATCTGTTGCAGAGATTTAAAATGATAAAAATTTTGATTCCGTAATAAAGGCTACGAGTGCAGACCAGCAGAAATTGTATCACTTTTCACTCATTTTATATTTTGTAATTTCACTAAAATGGTGAATGTTTTTTTTTCCTATATTGAAAGATGAACACGTCGATTTTAGAATTTCATTGTAAGTCAACTTGTTTGGGGCGTCCGTGGCCGAGTTGTTAAGGTCCTTGACTACAAACCGCTTGCACATCACCGCTGTGGATTCGAATCCCGACAGGGATTTGGATTCTTTAATGTGAGGAAGCTATCCAGCTAGCTTACGTAACGTCGTTGGTCCTTCTCAGGTGCCCGTTCGAGCCTGAAATAATGTACGGAGGGGCACCTGAGGTGTTCCTCCACCAGTAAAGCCGGAACGTCGTCATATGACCTATACTGTGTCGGTGTGACGTAAAACTCAGAAAAACAAACAAACTTACAATGTATCTATGAGTTGACAGAAAAAAAGTTAAGAATGCATAAATTTACATTATACGCACAATAAAGGAAAACTTTTCACGAATTATAAACCAACATTGATATTGCGTGCCAAATTTGACAGCAACTCATCAAACTAGAAATATTTCAAAACTACAAGTATAGCAAGTTTAGATTTTACAATTAGAAAAAAAAACACAAACAAACAAACAACAACAACAACAACAACAAAACAACGTTTTCCTATTGCTCGCCCGTGTAGCGAGTATCATTCTTAAGACATTAACATCGCCGAAATTGTTGTATTCTACATCTGCTGTAAGTCCATGTAGTATGGGAGTAGTATAAATATCAATTTTACTATTTAGTAATTATAATTCAAAAGACAACTTATACTTTTGATAGCAGGCAGCCGCATTTTGTTTCAATTTTCTTTTCTTTTTGAAAATTTCTCTTACATTGATTTTATAGAACAATTGTTATTACACGTTTGAATTGAAAGTCTAATGACTACATAAAGAAAACAAATCCAAAGATATACCACTGTTTTAACATATATTTATGTGTTCCTTTATGTAACTTAATTTAATAAAGATATGTTCTGCTCAGTTCAGTAATTCAAAGAAGGAAATAACTCCGTGCCTTTAATAAACAATTTATATCCATTCAAATGTTCACATGCAAAAAAGAGAAACAATGTCTAGTCGACAACTTTTTTTTTATAAATTAGTGTGTATATATTTTATATTTTATGAATTACAACAACAACAACAACAACAATATTTATGATTTAATTGCCCGGATGACAGGTGCATGTATTGCCTCGGGTATATCGTTATAGAACATTAGACAGTATGTCATTTATTCAAATTATTACAATAATTAATATCATTATAACGTTAATTATCCTTTTCTTCAGGCGAAAAATGAAAGAAATAGTATAGTGGTCAATAGATACATTTATTTATTTATTTATTTATTTATATGTTTATTTATTTATTTATTTATTTATTTATTTATTTATTTATTCATTCATTCATTCATACAATACAAAATTACAAACATGTAAAGGATTTCAAAAGGCGACAACTCCGTCGCCAATATTACAGCAATTTACTGCGGAATTGTCTCTCTTTAACTACATTTTAAGTACGAAAATAATGGCATCACAAACGAAATTATCAACTGTTGAGTACCGACATTCATAGAGGTTTCAAAAATTTAAAAGTACGAGTATATCACAACACTGAATACGTATACAAAACAAGACTCTGTCTTTGGTAATAGTTTCTGAAATTCGAATGACAGCGAAAGGTATTTTTCAGGAAACAGTGCCGCTTTTTCGACCTAAGTTCAATACAATGATGTATCCACTTCCGTGTTTCGAATCCGTAAAATAAAATTCCCTGTATGTTGTTTTAATCTGTTTATTTTCTGACACGAATTTTCATATAAACAAAACATTTCAGGGTGTGTCTAAGTCGTATTATTCTTGGCGAAAAGGTTCATTTTGGTCAGTGAACTTAAACATTTAATACGAAGTAATAAAAATTATATAAATGAATAAATAAAATGACACATAACATAAAATTAATTTACTCAGGGTGCCCGTTCGAGCCTGAAATAATGCACGGAAAGGCACCTGGTGTCTTCCTCCACCCGTGCAGCTGGAAAGTCCCTATGTGACATATATTGTGTTGGCGCGACCTTAAACCCAATAAATAATAATGATAATAATTGAGATACATATATGATTATTCAAGTAATTTACTCGCATAGATTACTTGATAAATAGTTATTTTGATTCATAAACCCATTTTGTGATAATTTACTTCCATTCCAAACACGTAGATTTTCTTTGTTTGGAACAAACATTTCGAGAACATTTCTGATATATTGATGTTTAATGCATCATCTCTTGGCAATTGTTCACAATACTAGGAATGTTCCGATGTACGAGAATATGAGACAAATCATCTGATAAAATAAGGAAATGATACTCGAATGACGTAGGAAAATGATGCATTGCTCATGTCAAGACAATACGATACATCTAACTATAGATTATAAATTGAAATAGAACAGCGTAGAATACTGATAAGCCAAACAATATGGTATTTGCTGTTGCTTTTTATCAACTTTATTTAGCTCTTTTACAACATTGACATTTATAATCATTACGAGGTATTTAAGTATAGAACGCAATTTGTTAGCTAATTCGTAGAGAAAATATGACACTATCTGATAAACAGAACCAATTCACTTTTTATAAACACTTTCCAGATTCAATATGAATGAATAAATAGAAATGTTAAACTTGTTTCATTTATTATTTCAACCATTATGAAACATAATCAATGAACGTTTAGCGTTTTTCAAACAGTAATCAGTATCGAATCAAATGTAAGCATGTTAAGCTCGTTTTCATTTCCAGAGCCCAAAGCATCCATTTTACATGAATATCATACCCCATACATAAAGCCTCGCTTTCATTTTCAGAGTACGAAATATCTACATGAAATGCAAATCGTACCCCTAATATAGCCTCGTGTTCTTTTTCAGAGTCCAGAATATCTATATGCAATGCATATCGTACTCCATCTTGCCTTATTTCTATTTTTAAAAGTCAAGAATGTATATATAGTGTTATCGTGCAGCTATGGTACAAAGTCTATTTCATTTTCCTAAAATGCAGTAACGTGCACAAAACTTGGTTAAAAGAAAATGGAATGATAATAAGATTGTCATGTTTCAGAGGATATTATTCACAAAATATACGTCTTATAAAAGCATGGGCCCGCGTAAAATGATCGTTATTTTTTGACCGGCGATTAGAAAAGTCTAAGAAATTTCTTAAAAAAGAACACCATATTCTATCTACCGCCATTCAAACATCATTCGTATGATTCCGTTGAAAATTCGTTTTTGTACAACTTTGGAGGGTCCTCTTTGCAAAAAATTGAAAATCGAAGCTCTAACCCAAAAAAATTTTCCAGGAGATTTCCGCATGGCATGGTCATAATTTAGACGGGAGTTTTGTTCTTTCTCTAAATAAAGTGGATTAATTTTCGTAAAAAACACCATATTCAAGATCCAATCGTTAAAACACCATTTGTCTGATTCCGTTTTTAATTCGTTTTTGTACAACTATGGAGGGTCTTCTTTGCACAACATGAATACCAAATTCCTAACCCAAGCAATTTGTCCGGAAGATTCCCGCATGGCTTGTTCGTTTTTGGACAGGCAATTTGCTGTTTTCGATATAATCGTAGATCAACTTAAAATTTGCAATGTCACATCATGGAGACAA